AAAAAAAAATGGGGATAATGATTGTATGCACCTCATAATATTGTTTTATTTTATAAAGAAATAAAAAGAATTTTCATCATACAAAGTAAAGTAAGGCTTTCCCAGAAAATATACAAACAAAAAAACAAATCAAACACCCAACTGGTCCAGGTGGGAGATGTACTTTTCAGTGACAATGGGCAAGAATTAGAAGGAGGAGAGAGCATCTCTGTCTCCCTGTGTGAAGTTGTGTGTAATTTTTCCTTTCTTCCCTTCCTGGGGGCCAATAGCCAGAGCTGCTGGACCTCTACACAGTGAATCTGCACCGGATTGAGAAGGACGTGCAGAGGTGCGACCGCAACTACTGGTACTTCACACCCGCCAACTTGGAGAAGCTGCGCAACATCATGTGCAGGTGGCTGGGGGTGGAGGGGGCAGGGAATCTGGGAGAGGAGGATAGCAGGAATGGACAAGGTGGGAGATACAGGGAGCCCAGCTGGAGCTTTTTTCAGCCTCTGAATCTGGCACCATACCTACCTGGAGTCTTATTTCCATCCACACTGACAATTAGATAACAACAATAATAATATGGAATATTTGTTAAGCGCTTACTGTATACCAGACACTGTCCTAAGCCTTTTACTATCATCAGTTTACTTAGTCCTCAATCATATGAGGTAAGTATTATTCCTTTTATAGGAGAGGATATGGAGGCTCAGAGAGGAACCACGTTGCTCAGAGCCCCCTGCTGGGCAGTGGCTGAGGAGGAACTTGTAGCCATGTCTCTCTAGGACTGTAGAATTTGTCCTGTTTTCTTTTCTTATTTAAGCCGAGATATAAGACTACTTATTACTGTCCATTTAAAAATTATTATTGGCATTTCTTAAACTATGAAAGTAACTCATGCTTATTAAAAATCTAAATCAAGGAAATCAGAAGTTCATAAGATATAGAGAGAGACTTCTCCTTCCATCTCTGCTCACCAGTCCCACTCACCCAAGAAGTAATGACAGCTAACAATTTAGTGAATATACTCCACATATGATATTTAATGTAATGTGTAATTGTATATTATATAACATATTGTATAATACAATATAAATGCACATATTTAAACATGTTTTTAACTATAATATAGTATGAGAAATATTATATTAAAATGAAAAAAAGTGCTGGGGGAGAAGGAAAGATGGTCTGACTTTTGCCTGGTTATGGCATAGGGAGAAATCATGAAAGACTTCACAGAAGTAGCAGCCTTTGAGATGAACTTTGATGAAACTGAGAAACACTAAATAAACTATTTAGCATAGAGGTTAGGATCACATATCCTCAAGTAAGGCTTCCTGGGTTCACACACTGCCTCTGCCACTTATTATTAGGTGTATGATTTTGGGCATGTCATTTACTTCTGTATTTCTCAGTCTCCTCATCTGTGAAATAATATAATAATGGTACCCATTTCCTATGATTATTTTGAAGATTAAATGGTGCAACACATGTATAGAGGGCTGAGTATACAATAAGTGCCCAGTAAATATAGACTATTATTAGTAAG